TTCATGCATTTACCAAATGTGATGTTTGAATTGAATTCCAAATCAATATCCCCAAATTTCATACATTTACAAAAAAAAATTATATACATTTATCCTCAATTACCTAATAATTCATAGGGCATTATCTATCACAACCTAATAGTTAACATTAAAACAGATTTTTCAGCACAAATTTTAGCTAATACAACAGCTACAGATTTTTCAGTACAGAATTTCAACCCAAATTTCAGCATCCTCATAAACCCCAGTATCATCAGTCACAGTGCCCACAACTACAGCTAATCCAATGTAAAATTTGGGCAAATCAAAATCAAAATCAAAATCAAAATCAAAATCAAAATCAAAATGAAAATGATAAGCTAGTTCAAAACAGAGCAAATGGCAGATCATCAAAATGATCAGCTCAAATCATCTATCTCAAATCATCAAAACGATGAGCTAGGAGTTTCTTGGCTAGTTCAAATCATTAGTCTGAAGATAGATCTATATATATATACATATAGAGAGCGAAAAGAGAGAGGGAGAGAGAATTGACTTGTAGAGAAGACAGATCTATCCACAAAAGACAGAGAGTTGAGAGAAGAAAAGCGAGTCCAGCGGCAAGACGTGAGTGATTCAATGGTCGTCATTAGTGACTCAGTCTGACGATCGTCGTGACCGAGAGAGGCTCCATCGGCGACAGACTCAATCGTCGCCGGGGTTAGAGAGCTGCGATCGTCGGGAAGCTCAACGAAGAGAGAGAAAGAGAGAGAGAACTCGAATGAAGGAGCGAGAGAGAGAGAGAGAGAGTATGAAAATAAACGTCTTAAATGAAAATTAATTTGAAATTTGAAATAAGTGAGAAAGAGAGAGAAAAGGGGGGCGAGTTAGCAACGTCTTTCCACGTGGGCACCACGTCCCTAGTTATTTGTTTAGTGATCTAAAATTAGTAGGGCTGCAAATGAACCGAGCTATTCATGAACAAGCTCGGCTCGGCTCGGCTAATGAGCCGAGCTCGAGCTCGAATATTAGGCTCGTTTAATAAACGAGTTGAGCTCGAGCTCGCATGAGCTCGGCTCGTTTATCTTTATTTAAATTATATAATAAATATATTATTTATATATTAAATATATATATAAATAATAATATAAATACATTTTTTATATATTAAATAATATAAATAATATTTTTTATTTAAATATTTATATTTAAATAATATAAATAATATTAAAAAAAATTATCGAGGCGAGCCGAGCTCGAGTTTCATTAAAATTAACGAGCCGAGTCGAGCCGAGCCCCAGCTTCTTATCGAGCCGAGCTCAAGCTTAATAAACGAGCTCGATAAGTAAACGAGTCGAGCTCGAGCTCAGCAAAGCACGGCTCGGTTCGGTTCGTTTGCAGCCCTAAAAATTAGTGGTACGAAGCATTTTTGTTAAAAAAAATCAATAAACTAACTTTTTTCGTACTTTTCAAAATAAGCCATAAATATCCATTGAAGAAAGTTGAACTATCATTTTCAATAGATAAGATTTAAACAATAAAAAAACTAACAATAGAAATAAAAAAAAGAAATTATATATTTTAAAACAGACTGATAATGCCCAAAATAACAAGGTGTTTATTTTCAATTTTCTGAAAATTTAGTTTTTTATTTTTCATATTTTTTTGTTTTTAGTGAATATTTTTAAAAGTTTAAGCAATTTTTTTAATGTTTTAGATGCACCTTAATTAGATGTATTTAAAAAGTAAAATATTTGTAAAAAAATATTTTAAAAATTAATAAATACACAAGAATACGAAAAATGTACTGAATTCTCTTCTTTTATATATATATATATATATTTGGTATTTAGTGAATTTTCTAAAAAAAAAATCACAAATATTATATTTTTTAAGTGTATTTATCTTAGGTGTATCTAAAAAATTAAAAAAAAATTCTTAGAATATTAAAAAAATTTAGTAAAAATAAAAAAAACATGAAAAATAAAAAATTTCAATTTTCTGAAAAATAAATCCTGAAAATCCAAACTAAACAATGTCATTGAGGTAGGTTCGGAAATTCACAATTAAAATGATAGGAAGAGTTTGGAACTATAGTAAATTTGTTGATAATTTTAGAATCATGATTTTAGTGGAGTTGCGTTTTGAACTCCGTTTAGTTTAATTTTAGAATTATGATTTGCATGTAAAGTAGTGTTTTGAAAGACAAGTTTTTAAAATGAGTTTTGAAAAAAGAAAACTTGTTTGGTTATGAATTTTGAAAAAAGTTTTAAATTTTGAGTTGTATTTTAAAATTATTTTTGTTTTTTTTAATATTTAAATTTTTTTCTAATTTTTATTTTTCTTGGGTAAATATTTTTTATTGTAAATATTTAATTTTTTTTAATGTGCGTTATATTTACTACATTTATGTGCTGTATTTTTTAAAAATATTTTTAAGGATAATTTTTTGATAAATCATTTTTCTAATTGTTTTATTCTATCTAACCCATATTTTTTTTTAATATTCTATTAAGTCCTGTTTAATGAAATATGACCAAATTACTATTTCTAATTTTTTTGCACATGTTTCTATTTTGAAACTAATATATAATAAGGTGAATTACACTAATTGTCCCTATAGTTTGGAGCTTGTGTCACTTTGATCCCTGACTTTTTAATTGTAACACATTTGACCCTAAATCTTGAATCTTGTTCCAAATAAGGACAATTGAAAAATTATTAGATTTTTCAAGGGTAAAATCATCAATTTGATAAAATATAAACTAATTTGACAAAAATAAATGTCAAAAAAATATTTTAAATTTTTTTAAAATTATTTTTATCCACAAATGATAAAATTATGTGAAATTGATAAAAATTAATAAAAATTACATGATTAATTTTTTAAAATTAATTTTACATGATCATCATCCAAATACATAATAAAAATTAATTTGAGTTTTGAAAAAAGTTTTGAATTTTATTTTGAATTTTGAGTTGTATTTTAAAATTTTTTAGATTTATTTTTATAAATATTTAAAAAATTTCCTTTTTTTTTAGAATAAGTATTTTTTATTGTAAATATATATATTTTTTTTAATGTGCGCTATATTTACTACATTTGTGCACAGTATTTTTTCCTAAATATTTTAAAATTTTATTTTTATTTTAAATGTTTGATTTTTTTTACATTTTTTTAAAATTTAAAAATTTTTTGAATCGCATATATATCTCTGAATCATTACAAATTATTTGGCCAATACTTTAAAAAATAACAAAATGTTTTTTTCAAAAAAATAATAAATATTTTCTTCAAAAATAAAAATAAAAAAATTAGTTTCTGAAAAAAAATTCAAAAATTTAAAAATTCAAAAAAATTATTTTAAAGAACAAAATAAAAAATATTTTTGTTTTTGTTTTAAAAATAGAGTCATAAGTTTTGTAAAGAGTTTGGAATTGAGTATGTGGTTACGAATTATGAAAAGAGTTTTAAATTTTTTTTTTTGGAATCGTGATTCTAAAATTAAACCAAACATATATGTTCTTGCTCAAAAATTGGTAGCCAAAAAAAAATTTGTTCCTAACTTGGATGTTTCAGAACAGTATTTGGTGATGAGTTATGAAAAGAGTTTTAAATTTTTTTTTTGGAATCGTGATTCTAAAATTAAACCAAACGTTATATGTTCTTGCTCAAAAATTGGTAGCCAAAAAAAAATTTGTTCCTAACTTGGATGTTTCAGAACTTGGTTTCAAAAAGAAAATTAGCTCAGAACTTGGTTCCCAAAAGTTTTTAATTTTTGACTATGGTTTACCAAATGATGCTTAAAAAAAAAAAAGAGGGAGACGATTTTAATATTCAAATTCATATTTTCGTTAATATACTATCTTTGTCATAAACAACAATATCCTTATTAAAATTAGAGCTTTCATCATGCAAATCTTCCATAACAACTAAATAGCGATGGTGCGATTTGAATGAGGAGGAAGAACTCAATTTAAAATAATAAGAGGGTTTGATAATGGATTGGAAAAGATTAGGACCTTTGGAAGATATTAATGTAAACTAAAATAGAGTGATAATGAATTGGGAAATATGAGAACATTTGAAAGATGATAATGGAAGGTGACAATAGAAGTAGGGTTTAGTATTTTTTTCATAATAAATATGTATTGAGAATTTTTGTTTTTAGAAGATGTGTGCCGAACTCAAGTGGAGTGTGTATATTAATGTCTATATTAGTAATTTTGTTTAATATTAAAATTGAATATCAATGTCTATATTACGGAAAATTCTATTTTCACACACCTAATTAGCTCAGGGTACACACTTAGTGAAACATTAATTTAATGATAATTATATCCTAAGTAAAAATAACCATAATAGACATCTAACAATACCCATAATATTATATAGAAAAATTGTTTATACACATCTTTTAAGAATAAAAAAAAAATCTCAATATACACCTTTTGAGTTAAAAAAATTAAACCCTAGCTTTTTTATTGTTGTCACTTTACTTGTTACACACTTTATACTCCTTTATTGCTTGCAAACCAATACTCTCAAAACATCTCTCATATTGCTTTAATCTGTAGGTTTATACTTTATTATTTACATCGTTTTATTATTAGTTCCACAATTTTTACTTGATTTTGATATAGAAGAGTTGCAAACTTATGGAAGTTTAAACTCAAGCAAAAATATGTCTGGTGACAACAAAATCAATTATGAAAATGTTAGTTTTTTCGTGTAGTATTTTATTATTATTATTTTTTTTTTGCCGTTTTTATTCGAATATTCAGGGCTGAATTTCATCACTTTTTTTGGAAATCAACTTCAGAAATATTATTTTTCTTTCGGCACTTGAAGTTCGAAAATTATATATTAATTCAATATTAAAATTCTGAATTTTTTTACTATTTTCGATACTTGAAAATCCATTTTATTTAGAAAAAAATTCGGAACTAAAGTGTCGAATTTTATAATTAATTTTGGCTCTATACAATCGAATGAAAGATTTTTTTTTCCCCCTTCTTAGATGGCATGCACTGAAGAAACTGAGGCTCGATCAGATATTATGGTGGATTGTACTAGTCATTTTACTGCTAAACAGGTAACATTTAACATGAAATTTGTAAGGTTATAATTTTTATTAGTTAATTTGTTTAGTTTGTTCTTATGAAAGTTGTGTGACATTATATACAGGTTTTCGACAACAAACATGAATTGCTCACTTGGGTACGTGATATTGGAATGACAAATGGCTTTATTATCATCATAAGGACGTCAAACTATGGTGGTGGTCGCAAAAGACCAAGTATTTATCTTGCTTGTGAGCGGAGTGGGAAATATAGATTGCGTAAGAAGTTGAAAGATGGCTCAGAAGATTTATTAAGACAAACTAGTACGAAGAAATGTGGATATCCATTTGATTTGAGGGCATACAAATTGAAAGCAAACAACGAATGGACATTGGATGTAGTTTGCGGACTGCATAATCATCCAGCTGCGGAGTATCTCCAAGGACATTCATATGCGGGGAGATTGTCAGCTAACGAAAAATCACTGTTAGTAGATAATATGAGCATTATGAAGACAATTTACAATGTACGACATCGATGTAGGGTTCTACAGAAAGCTGGTAGATCCCAGATGCAATAACTGCTGGGTGAATTAGCGAAACATAATTACATTAAGCGTCATCGATGTGAGAAAGGCTCTATGACTGTCACAGACTTGTTTTGGGCACATCCAGTGAGTTTGGATTGTTTCGTACATTCCCTCGTGTGTTGATTATGGATTGTACATATAAGACGAATAGATATCGGCTTCCCCTTCTTCAAATTGTGGGAGTGACATCTACTCATATGACATTCTCCGTGCCTTTCGCATACTTGCAAACTAAGCAAGTTGATAATAATGCATGGGCGTTATAAACATTGCTTGATCTTATGGACAACAGTGTTTTACCTGAAGTCATTATCACAGACAGAGAGCTTGCTTTGATGAATGCCATTGACAACACCTTTTCGAATACTCGACATTTGTTATGTTGTTGGCATATTAATAAGAATGTATTGGCAAAATGTAAGAAAATGTTTGAGACAAAAGAAAAATGGGAGAAGTTTAACACTGCATGGAACAATTGGTATTGTCATTGACTGAAGAGGAATACAATGATCACCTTGCAATACTGCATAAGGATTTTAGTAACTATTCAGAGACAATCAAGTGTGTTACTGTGAGTTGGTTGAATCCGTATAAAGAAAAATTCATTGCGATACATATAGTCATATGTATGCATTTTGGCAATGTTACAACCAATCGATAATATTTGTTTTTTTCTTTAAATTTCTTAAAAATCATATTGTTATTTTTAATTATTATGCTTGACTATTTTTTGTTTACACTCACATGAACAAGGTTAAGAGTGCTTATGCTGGATTAAAGAGGCAATTGGGTTCAAGTCAAACAACATTTGAGATTTCATTTGAAAAAATACATTGTCTACTTGAGTTGCAGCACATTCAAGTAAAAGCATCATTCGAGAAGAATTTGACTATTGTGCAACATCAATTCAAACCTTCTCAATTCAGAGAGCTTTGGGGTAATGTGTCTATTTGTGCATTGGAGTATGTGTTGGCAGAGAGTAAAAGACCAAATTCAGTTGGAATTGATGTTGCAGCATGTGGGTGTGTTCTTAGAGCATGTATGCTTTACCTTGTGCTCATGAGATTGCAGATTACATGAGACAAGGTTGTCCTATTCCACTCAATAGCATACATGTACATTGGACACAACTTACTATATGTGTGCATAATCTGAAGGTTGAGAAATTAGAATTGACTTGTATCCCAGAACATGGGATGATTTTAAAGCGGTTCAATGAGTCTGATATTGCCACGCAATTGGATATGTTGAAAAAGTTTAGGGAAATTGCAAATTCAGCAAACACTTTTCTTATTGAACCTGATGTGAAGCCTAATCCACATCGATGACATAAGAAAATTGATATATCTTGTCGTCCTGACCCATGTGCATTTGAGTTGGTTGACAATGGCTATGATAACTAAAGCACATTAGCTTCCAATCAGTCAAAGAAAAAGATAGCTTCGAAAGTGCATAAGAAGAAACGAAATGTGAAGATAAAGACATCGTACAAGAACAACTTTACCGAGTGCATATGCTGGTGACTTCCTTCCTATGTTAAAACCATTCATAAAGTTGATGAAGGATGTAGATGGTGATGGGAATTTTGGTTTTAGAGCTATTGCGGGTTTACTTGGTCTCGGAGAGAATGACTAAGTGCAAGTTAAAAGTGATCTACTACATGAATTGAATAATTATAGAGATGAATACGTCGTACTATAGGGTCGCATGAGAGGGTTAAGGAGCTGACATACATCCTTTCATATTTTGAAGATAGCCCAGGCTTGGATCGTTGGATGACTATGCCTGACATGGGACATCTTATTGCATCATTTTATAATGTAGTCTCATACCACTTGTCATTGCGACAGTGTCACACTGTCTTACGTTTACTATCACCGCTAGTAACCCTAATTGATCATCGCGAGATTGCTATTGGATTTGTCAATAGAAATTATTTTGTGCAAGTATAACTTACGAAAATAACCTAACATTGTTGTTTAATATTTGTGTAATTGCAAATTTGATGAATTTGGTAAAAATATGTAATTTTTTGGATGTACGTGCAGGTATTTTTGGAGGCGGTTTATCCAGTTCCTTCCATTATTGTGCTGTGGCGAGTTCACCATCACCCTTCTGTTTCAGAATGGGAGAATGCATATGTTAGCTGCATTCAAAAATTCAAAGACAACATAGGACCTAATGTAGCTACTCGAGAGATATTTGATGTAGTTGACATAGACTGATGTATTAGAGAGCAGTCATGAGAGGTTTAAGACATTAGTTTTTTTGATTTACTAGCATGGAGTAACGAAATAGATATTATTTTTCCATTGGACTTTTTAATGGTCATTTTTTTAATAGAATATCATATGAGTTATAGTTCTCTAAGAAATGGATGTCATATTATTTTTACTTTGTTGGAATACAAAACATAATGAAAATAATATTAACCAAGTGCAACTACTGTTAAAGAGTAATAATATTAATCAACAAGTATCTAAAAAGAAATTAATGCTATTAATTAGTAGTTCAATCCATCCACATCATCACAAAATACATGTCTCCTTATACATAATCCAAAAAGTACATAATCCAAAGATAATAATAATATTTGTCTCCTTATACATCCACTAACACCATCACAAACTACTTGTGCTAACATTATGAACTATTATCAACTACGTAACCGGTGAGTGTAATGTGCTAAAAAAAAATGTGCAGTGGAAGAACTGGGCGCAGACCGACCCTGAGCGGATGTGCTGGGCAAAGCTTCACTAATGTGTTGATCTTGAAGAAGCTGTTCAATTGCATCAATTGTGTAGTAAATCCTATCAAGATGTTGAGCACTGTCCTCATAGCCAGCCTTAACAAAAGGATGAGTAATCTAATATATATGTGACATAAGCTACATTACGAGAACAAATACAACATTATATACAAACCTATAACAGTTTACATAAATAATTTGTAATATGAATGAAAAAAAAGATACTTGTGTGTTTTGGCTAGGATACTGATAATGATGAATATTCGAGTCCATGTGAGAATGACGCGCTGGGTTTTGAACATATATATGGGTAATGGTTTGGTACTAATCCACGTAACCTGGAACACAATCCCAAGGTTGTCGTACCGGTGTACTCCTCCTCCGATCAGATAACACATGATTTTCCCATGCCTCCCAAATGATGTCCAAGTATGCATACATAACATTGTAGCGTGGAGCTGTGGCTCCTCGAGAAGCATGCATAGAGCCGAGTGGTGGATTAGGAATTGTCTGCACTCTACCAACCTGTTGTAGACACCCCATTTTTGACCGACCTTGAGACTCAGACGTCACCAGCTGAGCGCTCGGTGATATTGCATATTGTGCTCGTTCAGAAGTTTCAGAGTCTCGGCTGCGAGCCTTGCCTCCGGACTTCCGGACTCTTTTGTGTTTTGCCTCGGTTTGCGAACCAGGCTCTATTTTCTCTTTTTTCTCTTCCCGAAGGGAGGGAGAGGTCTCTTAGATCATCTCTCAGTGGCCGTAGGCTACGTTTCGTGGTCGTAGGCCGTTTTGCCCGTTTGGAGTCCGGTTTCTAGTTTTTCGGAGCCGTTGGTCGTGTGCCTCGGTTCAGGACCGCTTAACTACCTCCGTTTGCTCAAGTTTTTGGGATGCATCTTATTTACTCCCTTTTGAGGGACACTGCGGTCCGAGAGACCAACTTCGTGGTCGGACACCACTTCCGGTGCCTAACAGCCCACTTTCGGGGAGATCATCTCTCAGTGGCCGTAGGCTACGTTTCGTGGTCGTAGGCCGTTTTGCCCGTTTGGAGTCCGGTTTCCAGTTTTTCGGAACCGTTGGCCGTGTGCCTCGGTTCAGGACCGCTTAACTACCTCCGTTTGCTCCAATTTTTGGGATGCATCTTATTTACTCCCTTTTGAGGGACACTGCGGTCCGAGATACCAACTTCGTGGTCGGACACCACTTCCGGTGCCTAACAGCCCACTTTCGGGGCCCCGAACTGCGTGTTTTGGCTCCCGAACCTTCATTCTGCATTTTTGGGCTCCGACCCAAACTTGAGTTAGTCATATTTTGAGGTCCTTTTCATGTTTGATTAAGGACCTTTTGCTGTTTGAGATCTCCTACTGCCACTTTCTTCTTTACCCCTCTTTTAGGCCTTTTCTTGCATGATAGTTTAGGCCTACTTGTATTTATTTTCGTGGCTTGTCATAAACTATAAAGTGTCTTATTTTGAGCCCCTCTTCAACTTTGTTGAAGGGCTCTCTTCGATTTGAGATCTCCTACTATCACTTGCCCCTTTATCTCCCTTTTAGGCCAATTTTGGGGGGAAATTTGAATTTCATTTCGCCCCCATTTTCCCCCCTTTTTTCTCCACTTCTCCCTCTATAAAACCAGACCCTCCAGCTCTGTTTTGAAGATCACAAAAAATTGTTTGAAGCATTATACACACAACATCCCTCTCCCTCTTTTCCAAGCTCTAAAACCCTTTGTTCTTGGACCATTTTTACACTACAACCCCTAGCCTATCACCTTGATTACTCATTTCAGTACCTTGGAGGACATTTGAAGAGGTTGAAAGCTCAGATTTTTGGACTAAAATCTGCTGGAAAGTTGTTCTTCAAGGGTGAGTCCCTATTTCCCTTAAACTTGTACTTTTTTGCATGATTGTTTATCTTTACTTGAAAGTATTTTTGGACTTCGATCCAAACTGAAAAAGATCATATGTTGAGGTAATCTTCATGTTTGATTAAGAACTTTTTGTGGTTTGAAGTCTTCTTCTCCCCCTTTGTTCTTTACCTCTCTTTTAGGGCCTATTCTTGCATGATATGTTAGCCCTATTTTTAAGCATTTATGGGCTCCAAGATAAACTGTGAAGAAGCTTATTTTGAGCCCTTCTTCAATGTTGTTGAAGGGCTCATCACTGTTGGAGGCTTCCATTTGCCACTTGCCTTTATATCTCTCTTTTGGCTCCATTTTTGCATGATTTGTTCGCCTCTTGTGCTTCTGTTTTTGGGCTATGGTCCGAACTACAAATGACTTTATTTTGACCCTCTCTTCATGTTTCATTAAGGGTCTTTTATTTTTTGAGGCATCCTTTTTATACTTTGTGTTATAGCTCTCTTTTTGGCCTTGTTTTGCATAGTATTTTGAGAATGCTTGTGCACTGTTTTGGGTCTGGTTATAAACTGTAAAAGAGCCCTCTCTTTTTTGGGGTCAGCAGCTGTGACTTGCTTCTTTATCTCACATTTAGGGCCATTTTTGCATATTGGTTTAGCCCTATTTGTGTTCACTGTTTGGCCTTGCTTAAAACTGTAAATATGCTTTTTTTGGGGCTGCCTTGAATCTATCTTCACATTTCATGTTCAACTAATGCATGTTTAGTATAGCTATAGGCCAATGCATATGCCTAGTTTCGTGTTTCAGGTCTCATTCCGTGCATCGGGTGCCATATTGCCATGTTTCGGGGCTGTTTTATGTCATATTTTAGCGCTGAAATTTGCATGCTAGTATGCCATATTCCATGCCTTGCCATGTCTTGTTAGAGTGGCATTCGTGTCTTAGGTTCGGTCCTAGGTTTGCGTGCATGTGTGCACGCATTTCGAGTTGTCTCATTTTCATCTTATGGCCTCTTATGTGAGTATGTCTGAGGTCCACTCATATTGGTGTAAGTCCATCATGCATTGTGTATGCCATTTCATTTCATAGCATTGTGTATGCTAGGTTGCATGTTAGCGCATTGTGTATGCCATGTTATCTCGTGCATCGTGTATGCCATTTCATAGCATGTTGCATGTTAGGTTGTATCTTAGTTGCATTTCATGCATGTCATGCATATCGTATTGTGTTTAGGATAGGAGTTAGCCCGAGCACGAGAAACGAGGTACGTTTCGTACTCCGAGTGACGGAACGTGTCTCAATTCCCCAGTCACCGACACTCCGGATTATCCATGATGGAGTTGGGTTTTAGTTGAGTTTTCATGTGCATTCATTCTATATTGTGTCGTGCAATTCGATTCCTCGGCCATCATGCATCGATATGCGTGATTGGTGGCACGAGGATCGAGGACTACACTCCCTGAAGAGTAGTCAAGCATACATATGTGACAATACTTTGCCATGCCCCTTTGTTGCTCTCTGTTACAGCAAATCAGAAATCAGCAACCTTCCGAAGCCTGGCACGCATTCCAAGAACAATTGCAGACAGAGGCTAATTGGGGCATCGCGAGGGATTCTCCGCACAAGGCAACCCGAGCATGCATCATTCATCATCCGGAGCGGAGTCGAGGCAGTCCCTAGCTTGCGTGCTAGTTTGCAGCTTTCTTAGATTAATTTGTTAATTAATTAGAATTTTGTACATATTTGGACTGTAATTATTCGGGACTGTATATTATTTATTCGGACCCTCTGCGCGAGGGAAATGTTGTAATAAGTGTGCGTGTGTGTGATGTATGTCTTCCAACCCCACGTCTTTCTCCCTTTTATTTACCCACTTATGATGGTTAGATTAGGGCATGTTTCAATTAGCATACAGTATGATAGCATGTTTGCATTCATTTATCTGTTTTGCATGCACCGGGCTCGGTGTATCATACTAACTGTATCGTATTTTCAATTCCAAGTTGAATACGTGTTAGCTGTAGCATTTCATATGCCATGTTTAGAATAGCCGAGCCTGCTATAGTTGCATTCTTGCATGTGTTGCATTAGGCATTTCAGCATATTTAGGATCATGCATGGATTTCTAATTAGCTTCTGTTTTGGCTTGGAGTACTCGGTGAGTTTTATGCTTTAGCATCCTTGCATGTATGTGAGTGACTACCATGAACAGCATGCTTACCATGAGGCTATATGCTTATGTGATATAACTGCCTGAATGCCTGAGGGTGAAGGTTGGGTAATTTGAATTGGAACAATTCATCAAGTGTGTGTTTTAAGCCCACTAGATAGTGGCAAAATCATGTTTTCTAAGCCCACCTGAGGGTGGCAAATCCACGTCTTAGCCTACTTGCGAGTAGCACCATCAAACCATTTTCAAACAAACAAACATGAAATGTTTTGTTCCAATTCAGGCGATCCAGTCTATACTTGTATGCTGTGCGCATCACATAGTAAATCTAGGCTAATAACCGGAGTAAGAACACATAATGTTTTCAAAAATAGATATCATAGTTAGTAGAGGCCGATTTTTGATCGGGCGAGCGAAGGTGCTCACGAAGTAACCTTCCCCAATCGTACCCAAGTTCCCGAGCTGAGGTAACTTTGGTGATGACGGACACGTGGCCTTAGGCAAACGAGTCAGGGTTTCCTAAATTTTCCCAAAATAAAATATTTAGGTGGCGACTCTGTATCTGGCAAAGCAGTCCATGTTTGGCACTTCTTTCAAAAATCTGTGTTCTCAAAACGATTTGCCGGATTTGGACTCTTTGGTTCAGACTTAGAACCGTGACAAATTTTAGAGTCCTGAACTGTAGTGAGCCCAATATCGAATGGAACGAGGGACTCGTTCCCTCCCCGGGGCGTTCGGGGGACGTCTACACCTGTCTTAAAACTCTAGATGATATGGTCCAACTACTTCCAAACACTTTAGGTAACCATGGTAGAACATAACTGGGTGACACGGATGGACATGTCTGCAACTTTGGTACGGGTTCCAAATAACTTACAAACAATAACAACTGTAAGATATGACAACTGTTATTTTTTTATAATATAGAGTTTCAAATTTTGAAGGACTTTTTAACTTACACCATGTACACCCAACCTATCAAGCTACTCTCGACAAGCTTGCAACTGTGTCTCTTCACCAGACTCTCTTCGTGAAGTCCAGCGGTAAACATGTGGCATGTCTCGAGTGTAATTCATATTCAAGTATGGTCGGAATCCACAAAAGTGCTCATAAATCCACCCCTCAAGGAGTGTCATGTAACGGGCTATTTGTTTCATGTCGGACCTGTTAGCGTACCTTATCTGTCTATATAAATATGCCAATGCAGCAGCACCCCAAGCATATGAAAATACGGTCATCAAATCGGACAACAAACTCAAATAAACAACGAGGACCCTAGTACCAGTCTTGTCACTGAAAAGTGTATAACCCAACAAAAATAGCAAGCATGCTCTACCTACATATGCAATTCTTTCCATTGAATCATTGTCTATGACATTATGAAAGTGTACCCTCAACCACTCAAGCCTTATTGAATTGCCTCCAGCACTAAATATCTCATGTTTGACCTCTTGCTAATAAATGTCCAAGGTATTAATTACTAGTGCAATGGTCCGTCTTTCTGACAACTTATGCACACTAATAGATTTGCCTACAATGGGAAGCCCTAGGATAGTGGCAACATTATCCAATGTGATAGTCATCTCTCCAACAGTCAAATAGAAAGTGTTTGTGTCCAGTTGCCAGCTCTCAACAAAACTAGACACTACAATTTTGTTGACGAAGCGGTACACGCAACGAGCTAAGTGTGCAAGTCCTGATATCTCCACAATGTTTACAAATGTAGCGTTGATTCCTTGTTCCCACCATATCCACGAATGAATCTTAGACGAGTGATTATGACACTTCAAGGGCACCCTTTCATTAGCACCATTCCAAATAGCTGCGGCAACATGACTTTTAAAACTTTTAAGGGTTGATGGATCAGTTGGCCCTCTCGGAAATAGCTGAGTAAGGATATCTTCATCAACAATGTTAGCAACATCACCAGTAGGGTCATTATCCATAGCAATATCATCCATAATTGGTGCATCATGTATAGGATCATCATCCATGGAAATATGTGTGTCATCATCATGCACTCAAGCACGTCCACATCCATGTTCAGCATTCTCTAATTCACGAAGTCTATTTGAAGCTGTTAGTGACCGATGTTGACTGAGACCGGCATCCATCTGTATAAGGAAAGTTGTTCTCATCAATCCAATATAGCATTTATAGTGAAAACACTAACAAATATAAAATCAAATAGTCAAATTATAGTCATCAACCATTATAGCAATAACAACTACTTAAGCTAACAATATAATGTAAAAATATCAATACTGCACAGATTTTTGTTTCTATTGTTATGTATTGAAGTTCGCAAAAAAATAAAAATAAAAAAATACATAAACATGCCCATAAAATAAAATTGTTGGAAAAGAACCTAATTTAAAACCAATCTTGGTGGTCTATGTAACTTGGTGTAAATTTATATATAATTAAAAAAAAAATCATTCGAAACTTTAGTGCCGAAAAAATACAAAAATTTTGAAAATCAAATGCCGAAAGTATTGCATTAGTTCGGAACTACAAAACCGAAATAACTTATCAGATTCAGCAAACAAACTTCAAAAGTTTATATTGTTTTTGGATCTAATTGGTCGAAATAATACAACTTATTCGGTGATTAAGTTTCGAATTAAACAAACAAATTCGGACAACCAGTGCTGAGAGCTCCAAACCGAAAAACACAAGGGAAAAATCAATGGTTTTATGCCAATGGAGCACAAAGATATCCGAAAATGGTAAATGCAATAACAAAATGATAAATGTAATAATAAAATCGAAAGATTTCTTACCTTCAACAAGGGTTTTCAATGGTTTTTAGTAGAGGTTCAATGGAGGTCTTCAGTGGAGGTGAGGAAAGTTCATAGACTTTTTTTTTTTTTCTTCCTATTTGAACGAAACTGACTTTGGTCTTCACTTTTGTGGGTGGAACTAGAAATGTGCAGTAGGGTCAATAAAAGTGTATGGATTTGAGGGTAAAGTGGTGTGTGTATGGTTATGAGTAAAGGATGTAATTGTAATTTTAAGGGTGTGGATTGAGAAAATTAGTTAATAATCAAATTAATAGGTGTGTGTATTGAGAAAAAATGTGCTTTAAGTTAATCAGGTGCGCGGAAATAGAATTTTCCCTATATTACACTCAACTTTCTTTACTTTTTTAATTACAATTTTATCCTTATATCAAATTACCAAAATAGACATAGACCCTAAAATTTTCTAACCCTAATTTCTCTAACTTATTTCTTCTGCCACCTGCCGACGCCGACGCCGACGCCGACGCCTCCGCCTCCGCCTCTTACCTCACCACCACAAAAACACTGCATGCCACAATCTCCTCCATTTCCGACCACCTCTCTTACCTCGCAACCATTTCCCACAGCCCTTTTTTCTACTGTAACCCCACCAATCAACTTGTCACCCTCGCAACCCCGTCGCAACCACCACTCTCATCGCTGCGACTCCTACTATCATAGTCTGACGACCCACCTCAATACCTTTTGTCTTGCCTTCCACTTACCTCTCCCGCGATTGCCTCAAAACATTTCCCAAAACTAGGTCATTGATGGGAGAGGGGCTGGCGGTTGGAGGTTAGAGGTGGCGACAGTGTGTACCAGAGATGGTGGTAGTTCCCGCCGGAAGTGATAGGCTAGAGTTAGGGTTTGGAAGGTTGAGGGTAAGGGATGAGAGTGTTTTGGTATTATGATAAGTATAAAGAGAGAAAATCAAAATTTTAAATTTTTGTGTGTGGTGTAATAAGAAATTTGTTGTAATGAGTTAACTTTATTGTATAAATAGAATTACTAATGGTGTGTGAAAATAGAAGCTCCCTGCATATAATAGCTAAATATATATTAATGACTAAAATACTTTTTTTTTGTCAGTTTTACTTAACGAAAATAAATAAATGGTTTAGATTGAAAACAAATCAAAATATTATGGCTTAAATTAATAAAATTAAAAATTCATGATTTATTTTGTTACAAGAGTCAAACTCTGAGATTTTTCTTTTTATTATTTTTCCAAAAATATGTTTGGAAAAAAATGTATAGAAAGTATAATGAATGAGATAGAATTTTTATTTTTTGTATAAATTATTTTTTTATTTTTTAACTAAAATAGCCACAAATGAAGCCTTAGTACTTTTAGTATAACTTTAAAATTGATAATTAACAATTAAAATCATTTTCTTCGATTTTATAAATTTTTTATCCACCTATTTAAATTATTTCTGTTTCATATGACTATTCATTCTGACATAAATTTTATAATTAAAAAAAAAAATCATAAACAACTCCATATGAGATATCAAATTAGATTATAAGCTTCAAAAAGGATCTATCATAATGACCCACGGATAGTGTGAAATTGTCACTTTGCCCTTCTCAATCCTTATGAAATTACATTGGGTAAATTACACTAAACTACCATTAAGGTTCATACAAATTATAAGTAGTCCAATAATTTTAATATAATTATACCAATTTCCTTTAATTTATAAATTTGCATAATTTTGTGGTTCATATAATTAAAGATCTGTTAATATTATGAAAAGAAAAATGATTTGAAGCCCTAAAAAAGCCCCCCCTAATCCCCAAAACGACGTCGTTTTGGGAAACTTTTTTTTTTTTTTGCCCTGGTTTGAAAATTCGGGGGATTAGGGGGAATTTCGGGGGACATAGCACGGCCATTATGAAAAATAGATAATTAAATAACCATGACAACTTATCCCTTCTCTTTACTATGTAACACTGTCAAACCCTATTGTATTTTCCCTCTTGAATAACACGCCTCACAACCCTTTCGCTCTTCAACACTTCACTGAACAATTTATCCCCTTTTCTCTTCTCTTCCCCTTTTCATTACCGCCTCTCTTCTCCAAATTTATTATGCGAATTAAATTTTTAAAAAAATTAATATAATTATGCAAAAATTATGAGGTTAATTGTAATTCCTTTAAACCTCAAATGAGATTAGCATAATTTTTAACAAAACTTTAATTTTGTTTTTAAATAAAAAAGGGATGATAATCGTTGTTTACTTAAATATTTTACATGACATTAGCAAATATTAATATATATTTAACAATATGGACCAATTTATTATATAGTTTATAATTTACGAGAGATCAGTATAGTTTATAATTTTGTTAATGAATATGGATCAAATTTTTCCTTTTCATCAAATTTGACGGAAATAAATATATATATATATATATATATATATATTTAATGCTTCATCTTTTTAAATATTCATCAAATTCAAATTTGATGAATAATTGATGCAAGGATTGAAAATAATTTTTAAGTACTTTTTTTTATTTAATTTGAATTTGATAAAAGAAGAGCTAAATGATTAGAGATACACACTCTTAATATATGATGAATCACATTGTTAAAGTTCTTCATATATCAAAATTAGTATTTCAAGATAATCACATCTATGCAAAATCTATATGATGGTAGCTCATTTTTTTTTAAATATATTTTTTCATTTAAATTTTTAAAAAAAGGCATGAAGCCAAAATACCAGTATATATCTGCAAATTTGCTGACAGAGCAAAACTCAAGATTTATGTTCCGTCGACAAAAAATGCTTCATAAAAATATTTACTATATTTTATGATCCTTAATAGGATAAAACGTGAACACCGTGTGATAAAAAAAAAATGAATTGATTTGGGTGAGAAGCGTTCTCGGATTGGAGTCTTACAAACACCACCACCACCACCCTACAAACACCGCTGCAGCAACCACCCCCTACCACCACATAACCACCATCACCACCCTACTACACCACCACTACCACTATTACTACCACCACCGAAACACCACTACCATAAACAATCCAGTGACACATCATTTTCAAAGTTGCAACCAAAACGTTTTTGGAGAAAAAAATATTTTCTGTCAAAATAAACGGATCATTAATAGAAAAAAGAACATTTTTTTAACAGCAGAGGAAGCAAGAAGAAGAATATAAAAAAGAACATTTTTTTAACAGCAGAGGAAGCAAGAAGAAGAATATGTTTATATCCGATTGCAATGGTGGCAACAATAGCCTAAGATCAACATTTATTCTGAAAAAAGAAAAAGAAAAAGAAAAGAAAAGGCAATTACAGGGATAGATCAGCCAAGTCAAAAGTTCTTGAAACAGCTTTGCACCAAGAGTCCACCTTCTTCTTCCTCAGTTCTTCATGCAACATTGGACCGAAAATGGTAGCTTTCTCTTTCTTCTCCCCAGAAGAAAAGATGTCCTTTTCTGTCCAAACCCCAATAGCTAACCCGGCAGCATAGGCTGCTCCAAGAGCTGTTGTCTCTATATCAGCTGGTCTTATCACTGGGCTACCCAACAAGTCTGCCTGCAAAATCACAAATGTTGTGACATATAATATGATCAGAAGAGATTCCCAAAATGGAGACAATTTATTGTACTTCGGGATTTAGTTACCAATGGAAAATGTTGTGAGGAATGACTCAAGATCAATGATGCAAAAGTAGGTAGGGAAATAGAGAATAGTGGCTAAAATTGTAGTAATGGGGAGAGATGGTTTACTATATGATTGTTCTTAATTATCAAATTACCTAACATATTCGAGCGATAATGATGATTAGTTGATGAGTCCTCTTTTTTTGAAGGAGATTTCAACAGTGTTGTTGATGAGAAAACTTACATTGATTTGGTTGGTTCGGTTCACTTTCTATGCATAATTGATAAGAGTCTAGAAATAAATAGCTTTCCACTGAAATAAATAGCTTCAAAAACAAGGCAAGATAAATAGTCATCTCATCCTCATCCTCAGCTGACATAGTTTTATATTCCTCAATCAGCGATGAAATTCATCAATATTTAGTCAAGATGTAATGAAATTCATCAATATTTAGAATTTTTTTTTGAAAAAATTGAAATGAATTTGCATGCTGACCTTGTTTCAGATTCCACAAGCAGCAATGAAATTCATCAATATTTATTAGTCAAGAAACAACGAAATTCAACATTAGAAAATTCTAGGCAAAAATTGAAAAGAATTTGCATGGTGATCTAGTTTTAGATTCCACAAGCAACAATGAAATTCAACAACATATAGAAAATTCCAGGGAAAAAAATTGACCTGAATTTGCATCAAAAGGTTGTTAACAGTAGCACCACCATCCACCCTAAGCAAGAATTCCCCTTTCTCATTTTTAACCTCACCCTTTTCACCGGCATCCTTGTGCATTGAATCCAACACATCTTTTACCTGAAAACACATACTCTCAAGCACAGCACGAGCGATGTGAGACTTGTTTGTAAACCTTGTAATCCCAATACAAACTCCGCGAGCATCGTCACGCCACCATGGAGCAAACAATCCATTAAATGCCGGCACAAAATAAACTCCGCCAGTGGACTCAACTTTCAAAGCCAAGTCCTCAATCTCACTTGCACTTGAAATTATGCCAAGACTGTCTCTGAGCCACTGAACCGCAGCTCCAGCAATGGCAATCGAGCCCTCAAGAGCATAGTTTGTTGGAGCATTTGGGCCAAGCTTGAAAGCTAAAGTGCTCAATAGACCATGATTGGATTTAATTAGCTCTTCACCGGTGTTGAGAAGTATGAAAGCTCCAGTTCCATAAGTGCTTTTGGCCTCACCTTTATTGCAAGCTTGGCCCACCATAGCAGCGTGTTGATCCCCAAGACATCCGGCAATTGGGATTCCTTTAATTGGCCATCCGCTTGATATATCTCCGATAATCTCAGAATTACTAATAATTTTGGGCAAAATTTCAGAAGGAATTCCGAGTTTTTCCAATGTGGGCTTATCCCAATCAAGTGTTTTGAGATTCATCAGCATAGTTCGCGATGCATTTGAAACATCAGTGAGATGTAAACCACCATCAACACCTCCAGTCAAGTTCCAAATCAACCAGGTGTCTATGGTTCCAAACAGGGCATCTTTTTTTGCCACAGCTTCTTTAACAGCCTTGACATTGTCCAACAACCATAGCAGCTTCAGTGCACTGAAATAAGTGCTTATGGGTAAACCACATGTTTCAACAAAATGGGTTCGTCCACCTGATAATTCTTTCTCTAATTTCCTGTTTTAAAAAAATGCAGTAAAAAAAATTATATTAGATGATGGAACAAAATTACAAAGATTAAATTCAGAGTTATGCTTCCGTTTTGTAAACTAGCTGAGAAAAAAAGAAATGAAAAGATTATCACTTCTCATTGGGTTTTCTAATCATTTTGCTTGGACAAATAAGAAATAAACTAGAACACGGTTGCCTTTTCATTTTCTATGCTTTATATGAGATGGTAATTCGGGATTATGTTTTATATACAACAATTAGATGAGAAATAAAATGATTGTGGTTTTAGCACCGAATTTTTATTTTTTATTTTTTATTGTGGTTTCTGATAATTTTATTTGGACGAACCGGAAATAAGGTAAGACACAATTCTCATTTTCTATTCTTTACTTTGTATTTTAGATGGACAATTTAAGTTTTATATATAAAAATAAAATAAAATAAAGTAAAATAAAAATTTACAACAACTTTCTTTTCTCACCAAATTTTGGTGAGAAACAAAACAAGAGATTCCTTTTTCTTACCTATTCTATCCATTTCTCATCTCCACAATAATTCAAACACCTAAGGTGTGTTTAGTTCATGGATTTCTGAAGGAAAAGAGAAAAAGAAAACAAAATGGTGTTATATTACCTTTTCCTTTATCCTTTTCCTTTCCAATTCCAAATCCCTCCCCAAATCCATAAATTAAACACACAGCCCTAACAGGAGTTCACTTTATTTATTTATTTTCTTACCAAAACCTTCAATCCAAACAGATGTTAATAAATGGGTAATGATCAAAACCCTAACCAATCATAATTTATTAAGCCCTCATGTTGCTCAATCACCCAACACAGTAACTCACATATCCATATTATCCATCAATCATAATACTATAGAATACTACATGTCTATATTCCGAGATTACTAAATAATTACACGTACTTTAGATGGACCATTTAAGTTTTATATAAAAAATTAAAAAATTATTTACAACAACTTTCTTTTCTCACCAAATTTCACCAATTTTGGTGAGAAACAAAACAAGAGATTCGGTTTTCTTACCTATTCCCATTTCTCATCTCCACAGTAATTCAAACACCTAAGGTGTGTTTGGTTTATGGATTTGGGAAGGAAAAGGAAAAGAAAATGGTGTTATATTACCTTTTCCTTTTCCCTTTTCTTTTTCAAATCCCTTCCCAAATCCATGAATCAAACACAGCCCACGGGAGTTCACTTTATTTATTTATTTTCTTATCAAACCCTTCAATCCGAACAGATGTTAATAAATGGGTAATGATCAAAACCAAAAAAAAAAAAAAAAAAGAGAACAGAACTAGGCATCCAAAGAACAAAATATCCTCACAATCCCCAGGAAAAAAGAAAAAAAACCCAATATAAAATCAGACAATTCAAGAAATGGGTAATGATAAGAATCGACAAACACAGTTCCAGATCTTCAATTTGCACAAATAAAATGATAAAATAATAATAATTAAAAAGAAAAAAAAGAAAAGAAAAGAAAGAGGCTGAATCAATGAATGAATAGAGAAATGGACCTGCAAATAGAACTGGTACGAACATCCATCCAAACAATGGCGTTATAGAGATGGAGACCAGTAGATTTGCTCCAAACGACCGTTGTTTCTCTCTGATTGGTGAGTCCAACTGCCTTGAGTCCACCGTCAACATTGTACCCATCTACAGTGGCTTTGTCAATTGCCTTGCTCATACAAATCCTCACACTCTCCAGAATCTCCATCGGATCGTGCTCTACCCATCTGCAGATTCACAAACAAAACAACAATATAAAAAGAAAAACAGCGCAATCACAGAGAGAGAGAGAGAGAGAGAGAGAGAGAGAGTGTGTTCATACCCTGCTTGTGGGTAGAACTGAGTGAACTCGACCTGGTGAGATCCAATTGGGCGGGCATTTTTGTCGTAGAGAATGAATCTGGTGCTGGTGGTTCCTTGATCGATTGACCCAATAAACACATTCTCTTTTGACATTTCTCTTCTCTTCCTCTTTCGAAGAGTGTTGTGTTTTATCTCAAATTGACCAAAAAAACAGAGCAAAACAGAGTTGTGAAGACAGCCTGAGAAAAGAGAGAGCTATATATGACTATTTTGAAGGGGGAGATGGACCACATATTATTGTTTAGTTTATTTTCTTTCTTGGGAATGCAGACAGATTTATCCAATCCAATAATTTAAACAAACTAATTTTTGTCTCATCTAATTGATTTTGTGCCTTACAAGGGGATGGTAAACTTCTCGGGTGTATGTGGATTTGTGGGTGAGTCCTATGTTTGGCAAAAAATTTAATAAATTATTTAAAATTTATTATATTTTTTAAATAAAATTAATTACATATTTGTAATCTTATGATTAAATTATAATTGTTTTAAAAAAGGTATCAAAATTATGTTAATTATTTATTTTTTTAAAATATAAATATGGTATTATTATATGCTACGGATGTTTAATTGAGTTAATTTTTTTATATAAATGATGTACTTAATAAATTTTATAATATGAACGATTTAAATCATTGAAGTAGATTTGAAAAACAATCCCCCACGGCCTGCCTCTAAAGTATAGCATCTTTCAGGTTTCATTTGGGACTTGTTACGGAGTGACTAAAATATAGTAAAAAAAAAAAATCATTATAAATTTTCATATATCTATATTTTTATGTATGTTTTTTTTTTTATAAAAAAATTAAAAAATTAATCAAAATAATTAATTCTCAAACAAATCATATTCACAGTTTGAAAAATTTTATCATACACATATTTTTTGGGGATTGGATCCTCTCCTTTGGACAATCTACTCCAACAAATTGTGGATTCATTTTATACTCATCTTAATTATTTTATTCTTTCCTTTTATAGAGTTTTTTGAAAAAATTATGCACACAAAAAAATAGGTCAATCGAATGTGGAGAACCACTCAATTGGTCTGTATTTGTCTAAAAAATAATAACAAGCTATTTTTAAATTTATGTTGTTCGTTATTTATTTTTTAAATAAATGTGTTTCAATTAATTGGTTTTTAATATTCGATTAATTTGATTTTTGGTATATATATATATATATTTTTAAAATATCTTACAAAATGAATAATTTGAATTATCTAAACCAATTTAAAATGAATGCACAATGGAGGGAATTGGATCATCTAGTTGGATTCAATTGAGAGAATGAGTGTCTTATTTATTTTTAAGATATACCTATTGATTATGAGTTGATTAATATATATGGTTATGACACATTATTATGATTGTAGATTTTTTTTTTTTAATGATTTATTGTGGTATTTATTATGGGATTTAGTGTCCTTGTTGTGTGTGATACATAATGTGGTGATATTATATGCACCAATTAGTATATTAACCAGTGTACTAATACTAGTTATGACATTATTATTGATCCCGCTCATTAATCATATTACAAATACTAATATCCTCTTAAGTTATGGCACATCATCAATTGGTACACTAGCTAGTACACTAATTGGTGCATATAGCATTATTCTACATAATGGCGATTGTTGTGTGACCCGTGAGACTTATTTTGAGTCTTATCTTGATGGTTCGAATTGTTCAGATTTTATAAAATATCGAGAAGAATATATTTTTAAAAAATTAAGTTAATCGGATGTCGATAGCCCCTTCATCAAATCACTTTTGTATTCAGTTTGATACATATATATTCATTGTTTTATATATAGATGTGCTTTGACGAATGAGTTATCAATATTCGATAAAATTGATTTTTTTTTTTATAGGTATGTTCTTATCAATATTCCCTAAAATTTGAATAGCTTAAATTATCAAACTAAGATATGAAATTAGTTTCACAACCTATGTGAGAGTTATCGATGTGCATCACGCACAACAGTGACACCACGTCCGTCATTATGAGCTTGTTAAAATTTATTCACTTTGCTTGTTTTTTATTTTTCAAAAAGACTTTTCAGAAAATTCTATTTTCTTGTTTTTCATTTTTTTTGCTTTTACTGAATTTTTTTAATATTTTAAGCAATTTTTAAAATTTTTTAGACACACCTAAAATAAACACACATAAAAAGTATAATTTTTGTGAATTTTTTTTTTTTAAAATTCACTAAATACCAAAAATACAAATAAATAAATAAATATGAGAATTCAGTATATTTTTCATATTTTTATGTATTTATTAATTTTTTAAAATATTTTTCACAATTTTTTTGCTTTTTAAATACATCTAAGTACGGTGCATCTAAAAAAGTAAAAAAATGCTTAATATTTTAAAAATATTCACTAAAAACAAAAAAATAAAAAATAAAAAACAAAAAACTCAATTTTTAAAAAACTTAATTCAAAATACTCCAACCAAACATATTATTATTATTTTAAGGTTAATCCTACCGTGTATTCAGGACGCTTGTTAAGGTGTATTCAAAAATGTTTTAGGCCACTAATTAGTGGTGACTCTAATGATGTGGCAGTGAGTCCCACCCACTATCACATGTGTTTTGTGCTTTGTTTTTTTTTTTTTTTTCTTTTTTTTTTCAATTGCCACCTCACTAGTGGTAGTATTAGTGATGGTAAATTAGTGATCTATAGTATTACTCAAGGTGTGTTTATATGATTTCAATAACTTTCTATTTTTAACTTAAACTCAAACCAAACTCAATATTTAATTATATGCATTTATTGTTTAACTATTTTAGTTCCTTTTGAATTTATAATTAATATTTTATATTTTTTTATGCATAAAACCAAGAATGAAACATCAATAAATCTCAAAGAGTGATCTTATGAATTGTTTGATCTTTCCTTTTTTCATATGGACTCAAAGGTCCCGTTTTAGTGTGAAATACATAAAGGACCAAGTATAAACATGCATGTGCTATGTGTTAAAGGACAAATATGAATTTTCTTATAATGTTAAAATTATTATACGTAACACTTTAAAAAAAATCCTTAGTGTACTTTTTCAAAATGAAACACTTTAATCTAACACTCAAAAAATGTAACACTTTAATGTAACACACTAAAAAAAATTTTAGTATACTTTTTCCAAGCGTAACACTTTAAAAATGTAACACTCCAATATAACACACTAAAAACTCTTTAGTGTATTTTTCTCAAACATAACAACATAACATTTTAAAAAAAAATTCTTAGTGTACTTTTTTTCAAACGCAATACTCCAATCAATGTAACATACAAAAATTTCTTTGTGCATTTTTCTCAAACGTAATACTCTAATGTAACACACAAAAAAATTCATTAGTGGATTTTTCTTTAACATAACAATATAACATTCTAAAAAAATTCCTTAGTATATTTTTTCTCAACGTAACACTTCAATCAATATAACACATAAAAACTCTTTAGTATCCTTTTTTCAAACGTAGCACTCTAATATAACACTCCAATGTAATATTGGAAAACCATACTAACAGAAATGTAAATTTTTACGCTCGACAACCAATACTTCAGTCACCAATCCCTCCAAAATGAATCTTTCACACCTCACATTTCCATTCTCATCCCAAAAATGAATCAACATATTAGAAAAATGAATCACAAAAGAAAATTTACTTAAATTCAAATAATACCAAATCAAATAAATACTACTTTTCAAAACAAAAAAGATTAATTAGTTTATAAGAAAACTCTTAGAACTAAATGAATCAACATTCTCTATATAAAATTTATAGATAAATTTTTTCTAAAACTAATTATTAATTAAAATTAAAATTTCAAAATGTATTTAATGAAAATAAACTAATTAATTATTCCTCATCAAATGCTCTAGCCCTTATTAATTGGTTTTTAGTTGACTCCAGTGATGTTTAATTATAATTATTTATTACTCAAAATAATTTATTTATGACACAAATAATATTAAAATCATAAAATATTATAACTCATACATGATGAATTTTTTTTTTAAAAAAAATGTGTACAGTAAAATTTTCGCTTTTATAAATATATATATTTTTTAATAATATGTACTTTATTTTGAGATGTAAATTATATGACGGAGTTATAATGTTTACGATATTTGATTATGATATATTATAGTGTGAATTATAACTTATTATTATTATTATTTTAATTATAATAAAAAATATTTAATTATATTTTATTTGATGTTTAATTATGACTCTCTAATCTTTTTTTAGTTATAAATAATCCAGTTACCACATAAATTACATACAATTTTCAAGGGTATGGATAGATTTTTGTAGTTGACAATTGATAAAGTATATGGATAGATATTTGTAGTAGACAATTGATGCAAAGCCATATCTCTATCGAGATTCGAGGATAGAAACAACAACGTAGAGAAATCATGCCTCCACGTGTCAATAAATCGCCGGAAAAGTTGACAGGACTTGTGGTTCCCAAGCCAATATCTCCCAAACTTACGTCATAAATCACTTTTTTTTTTGGTTCTCACTTTGAATTTTCTTACGTGAAATCTTTTGAGTTTATTTGTCATCTAATAATATGAAGGATTTCAAATGTTTTATCGAATCAAATATTTTATATGATTGTGAGACACATATTATGAGTCTTATATAGATGGTGGAATATTTGATAAAATATTTAAAATTTTTAACATTATTTTTTATCATTTCTTAAGTTACTGTTTGGCAAGTTAGTTTGAACCATGTTAGGGTTAAAAAAAATAAAAAAAGATAAAATAAATTAAATAAATTAACAAAATAAAATGTTATATTTAAATCATAATTATTTTAATTTTTCTCTCATAAAAAAATAAAAAAATAAAAAAGTTCTTCTTAAACGGAACTAATTTAACTAGGCTATATTAGCTAAAAAGATAAAAAATCAGGCAAAAAAGGTTATTTCTAAACGCTGGTTAAATAAGTACATTTATTTGAGTCATATCACATTTTTATTTTTATTTTGCACATCTTATTGTAAAAGTTAAAAAATATATTTATTTAGATCATCCCAAATAACCCCTTAATTAGAGCATCTCCAACGCTTACTTCAAATTTTCATCAAATTTAAGCAAAAATTTGATGAAAAACTTAATCTAATATGATGCACTCCAATAGTGAGTGGAACATTTCATCAAATCCAACCTAGAGCAAATTTTCGATTGACAAGTAGGTCCGACCAAA